CAGTCACTGAACAAGCAAGCCTCCTGCTCGCTTCAGTGCATGGCTGCGGCCGCATCTTGGCTGACAGTTAATTTGCATAAGAATATGCTGATTAGCCAATGGGAAGGGTATCGGTCGTACGCTAATTACCATGTTTCTCTTTTATTAGTGTAGATTAGGCCAGGACAACAGTCTTAAACTGGGGTTGTCCCAAGAAACCTGGACACAGAGTCACCTCAACTGTTGCCAACTTTGTCCATCCTTCTGAAACACTTGCTTTTGAGACACACACACACTTAAACTTTCAGGTTCAGCAGGTAACTTGGCCTCTACTTTAGGAGAAAATATGGCTACATTTTAAGGAATACAGATCATCACCAACTGGAAATCTTTGATATGCTTGCTAAGGACAGTAAGGTTGGTCTTGACCGAGCATGAAAACTCTGGGGTACAAAGATGAAGTTAGTTTTGTTCACATCGACATCTATACGCCATCTAACGCCAGAGATGTTGCCGAATATCCCAGCAAGTGATGTCTGGTCTTAGCTTGAACACCAGGGGCCAAAACTACCTCCCAAGGTCACCCCGTGCGTCCTGGACAGCTCTGACCATCAGAGATATTTTTTATTTCTTACACTCCCCCTCAGTCTGATTTGATCCACATTATATCCTCACAGAATGACTTAAAGTCTTTCCGTAACATTAACAACTGGATTAGCAATCGGGTACAGATTGCTTTTTAAAAGAGGGCCAAGTTTTCTTCCTCTGAATAATTGCTCAATTGGGAATATAACTAACTTGAAATAGAAAGACGTCATTCATTCATTCATTCATTCATTCATTCATCTGTTCCAAAAATATCAGTTGAGCTATATGTGTCTAGCATGGAAGCCAGAAAAAGATGGGGTCTGTTTATAAGATCAAATGATCACAGCTACATAGGAGCTGCCTAGGCTAGACAGAAAGTTTTCTAAGAGTTTGGGAGAGGTGGTATGTCTGGTGGTGGTGGTGGGGTGGGGAGTGGGGGGTGGGGGTGGGCGGTGGGGGGGAGGGTCTGGAAACACAGTGGGTGGGGAGTCTAGGAAGGCTTCACTTAGGAAGTGGGATCTGAGCGGAGTTGATAGACAAGACATGAATCAATGGGCAAACCATCTTTCCAATGAGGCGCAGAGAGAGACATCTTCCCAAGAAGGAGGGGGAGGGGCTTTGTGAGGAAAGAGGAAGGAGGAAGTTAGGGGCTGGAGCTAGGGTGAAAATTATTTCCCTCTCCTCAGGACTGTCAAATAGTCACTGTCTTTAGTCACTTGCAGACAGCTTGCTTTCTTCACAGCCTTGGGCACTGGCCAAGTCACACCTCCCGGGCACCAGGCTGCGGACATGGGGGCCCTTCCGTGGCTGCTCCTGCTCTCACTGCTCCAGGAAGGTGAGAGCCACTGCAGCGGGGACAGGAGGGTGTCCTTCACCCTCTTTCATCCGCTGAGCCTGGGGCTAGCAAGTCACTTTCTTTGGGCCAAAGGCTTCAGCTCTTCTGGAGGGAAGAGGAATAGGGGATGGCTTCAGGGCAGGACCAAGAGAGAGGAGGCCTGAGATGTGGAAGGGAGAGTAGCCCCAGGATGGCAAACAGAGGAGG